ATATTATCAATGAAAATCTTGTAATTACCCAGCAAGATCTGCTCCACGTTTTGATTCCAATTAAAATATTTATAAACCAAAATAAAAATATCAATACAAGTAAAAAATAGTACCTCTGGTTAGTTATTAACACTTCTTATTTAGGAGACCCAAACCAAACCAAACAACAACACTCATGTTTTGTCATCTTTGGACTCTGTCAAAAAATAAATTGTTTTTTGTTTTTCCAAAAAAAAAAACAAAATCAATCAATTCGCATCTGTCCTATCAAAAAAAAAACCAATAGGATAAATAATTAATGTGTGTGCATCGATCACATAAACTTCTTTTTATTTTATTTTAAAAATGAGAAAAACACAAATTAATAAAAGAAGTCACTCAAAAAATACTGCAGAAACAGTCGTTGGGTAAGTGTTTTAAGGATGGTGGTGGTGGTTATTGCCTGCCACTCATTGTTACTCTAGTTTATCATAAGAATGGTGGTGGTGGTTATTGCTGCCACTCATCATCACTCTAGTTTTTTTGAAAAATTGGCATCATGACACAAAAAGTTCAGTGACTAAGTGGCTTGCACTATACTAATTATATGAATTTTTTTGTATAGTACAAGTACCAATGTTCATGTGAGAGAAGAAAAGAAATTATATTCTGGAAATCTATTAGAATTACACAAACAAAATAACGTAAGTATTCGGTTAAATTTATTCTCATATTCATAGTAAAAGTAAATTGATATTTTTCTTCATCATCTAGGATTCGGTTTTCTCAAAAAATAAAGGATACGAGTCTGATCCTGGTGATCATGAGAGAAAAAAATATCAGAAAAACTCACCACAGAAGAAGCAATGCATGTAAGTTTCAATATGTTTGTTATTTGTTGTTGCTATCTGTTATTAACATGTTATCATTCATTAAGTTCAAGCAAACTATTTGCAGATGCTGAAAACAATCCATTTTTAGTATCTGAGGATAATTTGGACTAAAGACTAGTGCTGTAATCCAAAAAAGGAAAAAGTATGGTTGCAAAAGTGGTCACAAAGGTAATTGCAATTACTTTTTATATGCCATAAATACAATTGCTACCATCATCATAATTTACAGCACTAGTCTTTAATTTGGACAGTGGGGATGAACCTGACTCGTCTCTTTCATATACTGAAATTGTGTCCAACTGTCCAGCAATGATCAATGATGTTAAAGGACTAAAATTGGGACCATTACCTCGAAAAGAGTCCAGATGGCTCGTAAACAACATAGATGCTTCTGAAAAATGGCATTTATTCAAGGAAAAATTGTTGGAATTGGCAAATAAAGAAGGCCTTTTTGTGGAAAGCCACATACAGCAAATATTGTATGCTTTCAATTTTTTTATTTGCTAGGTTACTGGGAAGCTAATTGCAAATATTTTATACTGTATAGGTCCTTATCACACATTCTTTTATTGAAGCCCAAACAACATTGCCTGTTAATAGTGGAGGTTTTTGGTGATGAATTATTAGAAATGACACACAAGGATATCATACAGAGATTTACCAAACAAGAGACAGAGTTTGATGATGAAATATTGATGAAGCTTATTCGAATTGTCAAGGTATACTATCTTCCTTTACACTTATTTGATGTGAAAAAATTTTAATGCATTCATTCTTGTTACAGCACCTGCAATGGGAGGAGATCACAAGAGACAATGCAGTTTCAGAGCTACAAATTCTTGCAGTTGGTCATTCTTATGAAGAATGTGTCAACTTTTATAACATGAATTGTATGCTTGGATTTCAGGTTGTTGGTAAGTTTTCCAAGAGTAACTTTTTTTCAGATCACACATTGCTGAACAATTGCTCTGTACTCAATAGGGCATCATATCTCATTCTATCTCACCACTCTTTTGTGTGACACCTTATATGTTACAGTGGAAGTTGGTCATGTTGATGTGCCTATGTCACTTGAACAGGTTCCTGCCTTCCTCACCAGCCTTGATATGCTTCTCATCATATCCAATGCATTTTGGGCCAACTGTATTGTGTCTACTGAAAAAAAAGAACCAAGCAGGCGCAACACTCTTGCAACACCAAGCTTTAAAGAAATTGTTTCAAAGAGTCAGAATCAGCATCGACTTTGTCAATTACAGTTTTAATTTTTTTAGTTCTAGTTATGGCTCAAAATTAGTTCATAATGTTAAAATTTGCGTAATGTAATTAAGCTGGTCTGCACCACATTATATATTTTGAAATGAAATATGCATGATTAAAAAAGATTACAATGGATTGTATATTTTTGTTATGTATATATGATTGAGGGAGAGCATTTACTTTTTATGTTGCCAAGGTGATTGGTGTTTCCAAAATAGAATGTGCATGTGATTTATTGCATTATATGACTGGCACATTAATCAATATTTTATGGAATAATCTTGTTCCTAAGGAAAATTAGTGCGAATATTGAAATCAATAATCAGACTAATTGGAAGGAACAGTTGGCCTAAATGAATATAATTTATTATGGGGATAGTTACATGTTAAATAGAATTAAATATTTGTATAAATTTTTCTAATAAACAGTGTAACAGTACTGCATTGTTATATATATTTTATGGAATAATCTGGCAAAATAATTTGTGCTCCAAATTGGAACAGAAACATCATTTTTTCGGATAACTTTTTGATAATATATACTGATAATATATACTATGTAATTTATTTTTTGTTTCCTTACCAACATTCGGAAAATAGAAAAAATAGAAATAGCAGTCAGACACAATTGACATGTCTACTGTAATAGCTACTGTAGCATGGTGGAAATTCCACATTTTTGTGTAACATTTGGTAATTATATTATGGAAAATATTATATACAGAAAGGTTCTTTTTATGGAATATACAGAACCCTACCAAAAATAGCAATTCATTCTAT